ATATTTGTTGTCGTTTTAATCGTTTAAAGTTTATTTGATTAAATATATAAAAATCTGCGGATTTTATCGATGCAATTATTAGGTAAAATTGCTCATTCGATGTGTTTTTGGTCAGTCAATATCAATGCACCGGCAAAATTGGACCCAGCGGCGAAACTATTGCACCACTGATGCTTCTGTGTGCAGTATGAAAGCTCTAATCTGTTAACATGGACGCCAAAATAAACACACTCTGCTCACACTTGCTGTGTGAAACAGGCTTGAGTCTTTCAGCACTCTCTCCGGAAACACTCGGTTGGTCTCGGCTGGCATTGGCCACATGATCGCTCTTATCAGCGCCATTATTTGTAACTTTAAGTGGGATTGCAAACTTGTGCACTTTCCATTGCTTTTTCCTCAAACTTTAGTCGTCTGCAATTTTGAATTTTTTATTTGCTTGTTTATTTTACAGGGACAATACACTTGCCATTGTTATACAAAGATAACCGATGTTTTGTACAATTCCCGCGATCACAAAAGCCCCGTCCTCTCAACTAGATGCGCCTGAAAAGCGTGAGCGTGTTGCATCGCATGCACATTCCTCCATTGGAAATAACAAACTTGCACGAGCTTGCCTTAGTTAATAGCACCAGTCATAGTTAGTCCAGTGTGCGTAGTTATTAGTATTAGTGTACAAACTAGTGCACAGTTGGCATAACTTTGTTTAGTTGCTGCAGTTTTGTTCCGTGCAGAAACGCAGTGTTGAGAAGCCTTGACGATTAATTAACCGTGATGAATTCAATTGCGTTTAATAGTGAAACCGGTTAATCGTTGCATCCCTAGGCACCTTACTATAAACCGAAATCTCTAAGGAATGTTTATAATGCACTGCTGAATCTCTGCCATAGGAAACTAAGGCAGTTCTGGATGCTAGTTTTAAAAGAAAGTAGGCTTCTATATTGCCAGTGGTCTGAAATAGGGGAAAATTTCCACCAAGAGGCCATTCTATGGGCTAAGAAGTAGTTAATAGAAAAGTACTAAAATCTCAAACAGCAACTACACATCAAACCTTGAAGAAGATAAGCTACAGCAGCAGAAGAACAAAAGCAAACTGACGCTCCTGACAACAGAAGATTAAAGATAACTGTTCCCAGGTCCGACATATCTCTTTTTGTTTCGACTTTAAGATGTTAGCATCAAAATTTGGAGTAAACAACCTTAACGCATGGATCTATCCTGCCATGAATCAATAGTTCAAGCTTCCAGGAGGAATGAATCTCTGAGGAATGTTTATAGTACATTGGAAAACAGACGTTTGATAATAGGTGTGCTTCATTATTGACTCACCAGACGCCTGCACCTCGTTGACGTACTGCAGCAGTTCCTGGCCCTGGTGGATGACGTGGAAGGCCAGGTTGTTCATGGTCAGGGCTTTATCAGCATGGTGCTGCAGTCTCTGTTCAGCCAGCGTCAGGTCTTCTGTATCAAACTCATTCATCTGCTGCGACAGCTCCTCATTCCACGAGTCCAGATCTGAGATAATCTGCAAAAGAAGATACAACAGTATGAGATCACCCAGGACAAGAAAAAGAGAGACCTGACTTGACACGCTCTTATATATAAAAGTTAATGTGTTTGTACTTCTTTTATATCCCGGTACAGACTTGAACCTGAATGTACACAGACTCGTGGGGACCAAAACTGACAGGTAAACGCGCTAATAAATCACACAGAATGAAGTATTTTAAAATGCAGATTGCTTCCTGTAAGGGTTGGGTTTAGGGGTCAGGGGATAGTATATGTGGTTTGTAGTAGAAATATCATTATGTCTATGACAAGAACAAGTCTGTGTGTGTGCACTTGTTTTTATATCCTGGTGGGGACTTAAACCTGAATGCACACAGACTCATGGGGACTTGTGTCACTGTGAGGACCAAAATTGAGGTCTTCATGGGTAAAAACGCTTTATAACACACAGACAATGAAATATTTTGAAAATGTAATTCTAAGTCCAGACTGTTTTTCTGTGAGGGTCGGGTTTAGGGGTATGGTTGGGGTAGCGGGGTAGAATATATAGTTTGTATAGTAGAAATGTCATTACGTCTAAGAGAGTCCCCACAGGGATATAGAAAAAAGTCTGTGTCTGTATCTCTTTACAAAGTCTATTTGAATGTATATTTGTGTGTGTGTGTGTGTGTGTGTGTGTGTGTGTGGGCAGGAGAGAGAGAGAGAGAGTAATCACTTTTGGGTGCAGATCATCCTTGAAGACTGCTGCTTATTAATCGCTAGTAAATCATATTAGACATCAGGGAGTCACTAACGGTGTGACGATGGGAAAACTGCCCTAGTTTAAGAAATTGCTCATTTCAAATGAGGATTCTGCTATTATTTATTCTTTCTAACATTAGGTCAAAGCCGTATGGCTTTTATTCTCATTAGAACACTCAAATAATGGCTGCTGAAATATAATGAAAATAAATGAGATTAAATGATCTATGAAGGAAAAAAAACTTGTGTGGTTTGGAACAAAACCAGGGTGGGTGAGTAAAAAACAAACAAAGTCACCCACAGACATTTTGTTTCATTTACATGTTATTAACATGCATTTATCAGACCACTTTTTTGTGATTTTTTTGTAGGGTGATGTCATTGGCCCATAAACATTTCTTGCCTGCACTCGAGTTCGTTCTCCCGAGGTAATCTGGAAATGTGTTCAGTTCTAAATGTTATTTTATTTAACAAACCAGTTTGTGTTTTGGCACTGAAGCATATAGTGAACTGGTTTTGAAGCACTTCATCTCAGATGTAATTCTGTATTCTTGTTTATCTAGTAACTGACCAACAAAATATACGTAAAAATGAAGATACAAATTATACCACAAATTACATCACATTTCCTTCTTGTTATCAAAGTATTTCATGATCAAAAATATTTGACAATTTTTTTAATAATTTTTTTGTAATAAAAATTACGATTTCCCAGAAATTTGCAGAAAATTTTGTGATGTATGGTTATATATATATATATATATATATATATATATATATATATATATATATATATATATATATATATATATATATATATATATATACACATACATACACACACATATATATATACACACATATATATTTCAATGTGGTGATGTCATTGGCCCATGAACATTTCTTGCTTGCTATTAAACTATTTCATGAGCGATTTTTTTCTTGTGATTTTTTTGTAATAAAAATTATGATTTTGTGGAGGTAATTCCCAGAAATTAGCTGACAATTTTGCAATTAAAAAAAAAAAAAAAAAATAATAATAATAATAATAATAATAATAATAATAATATATATATATATATATATATATATATGTGCCATATTAGGTAGCCTACTATGTTAGGTGTGCAACCTGACACAATGACACAAATCATAAAAATAAAGCTTCTTTCAAGATCTAAAACAGATCTAAATGGTGGGGATTAAGCCAAAGGAAGGTTGCATAACTCTTATTTTTATCCACGATCTTACTTTCTTTCTCTCTCTCTCAGATCTTACTCCTTAGAGCATCTGACATCATGTTTCTCACTCAGGACACGCATTAGGGCTTCCCCTACCGTAATACACCTAAAACACGGATTGCTGTAAAACTCGTCAATGGCAGGGAAGCATTTTCTTTTCTTAACTGCACGGAAAGAGTTAAGCGAAATCATTTATCGATTTAACGCAGATCATAACACCAGCCATACATGTAAAGCACAAAAATGTCCTTCAATTTAATTAAATTTGCTTGTTTATTTGGCAGGGAAAGTGTACATTAATTAGCATTTCTGCAAATGCACCAGAATTAGCCCTAGCCCTAGTTGTCGGTCATGTCCTGCAGCCGTTTTCCTTGAACCAATCTCCATCATTGTAAACTGCTTGCTTTTTCTGTCTGTTCCACTGCTCCGTTTGTTTGATGTTTTCTCCCACTTTCTTTTGCAGTCTGAATCGACAAACGCACAAGACGCTCAATTCAAAAAATCACTCTCGCTTCATCCATGTCTGCTTTTTTGCACAGGCTGTAAAGCAACCCCCCACCCCATTCTATGTAATGTAATGATTGTGAGGGAGCAGGTGAAACGTCATATTTCAAGAGACACTCAAATACATCACGTGCGCTGCGTATGCAACATCTTTAAGTCATGTTAAACAAATAATTGCAAACTGAAATAAATATCATTGGATTATATCATTTGGAATTGGATGTTTTATGAGATTATTTCAGTTTTTTTGTGATTATTTTGCGTTTAATTAAAAATTTTGCAGGATCACAAAAATTTGCGACTTTTTGTGTTGGATTCAGCGATTGAGGAATCCAAAAAAACTAGGGGGTCTGATTTATCTCTACCCATTCTCAAGGAGTAAAAGCCAAATACAGGTGTAAAAAAGGCTGGTGCCAAATATAAAAACTATATATAAAAATATATGCACTCTGTAACCTTTCCACGATTTTCTTTTTGTGATCATTTGTACATTTCTGAGCTTTTTGTACAATTTTAGACCAAAATATGGGAGAAAAAAAACTCAATAATAATAATAAAAAATAATAATAATAATAAACCTGCTAAATTAATTGGACTTATGATCTCTGATGATTTGAAGTGCTTCACTCATGCTCATTTGTACATAATACTTGGACAAAATCATGCTTAATGGATTAAATTAAGTGTTAATGTAAAAGAGACAAAATCAAAAGATTAAGAGCAAACAGGAACCCATCACCTATCTGTAATGATCCGACCAAAATGCATCTGAATACCAAGTGTAAACAGGGCCTTCCTTATGTATTGAGTAAACTCACATCTATGGCGTCCCGCTCAAAGATCCTGAGCTGCAGGAAAAGCTCCAGCTTGATCTTCCTCTCCTGGAAAAGCTCCTCCATCTGAGCCTGAGCCTCATCCAGCTGCTGCAGGACGCTCTCGATGTGGTTGATGGAGCTGTTGTGAGGCGTCTTGTTGCTGGAGATGGCCAGGTCTCTGCATGTGGACAGAGGGAGAGGTGTTATATTTGATCTAGTCTGTCAGAGAGGCTTCCTACAATGCTGTCTTTGGGAAAAGTCAAAGCTTTAATGGAAGTTAAACAATTTAAGGAATGTTTGGAATTTTTAATCCCAGGTCGGATGGAATTTTAGGAATTGTTCTTGCCAATTGTATCTTGTTTACATGGACACAATGCTTTTATTTGCACTTCCAGTGTCTTATTTGCCTCGAGGATTGAGAGGGGTCAAATTAAGGAGTCCGTAAGGATCACACAAAGTGTATACTGGGGAAGTCAAAAACTGTCATGATGTACATTGAAGATCAAATCTAAAGAACAACCCATAATTTAACCAGAGCATAGTCTTAAGTCACGATCAGATCACACGATTTCATCACGATTTCCTATTCGTCAAGATTCGTAAACAACAAATAGACATCATGACAAGATTCAATTGTTTCTTCTCGTCCATTGTGGCATAATTCACAACAACCGATACCATGTCTGCAACACCTCACGACACTATCGTAGTAAGTCTAGCATGTTTAATTTTTCCCCTGATCTTCACAACGAGTTCCGTCATGTGGATGACAAAGCAATAAGAGCACATCATTTATCAGTTATACCCGCAGGTACTGCCGCTAATCCAGTAATCAAAAAAATAGGCTGCATAGTTACTCATGGGTGGGTCACGAGTGGATAAGATCAATCATTGGTTATACACATTTTAACTACTTCCTCTAAAATATTAAGGTGTTTTGAGCAATTTTATTAGACAGACTGCCACAAATATGCAGAAATCTCCATTCTCACAACGTGTGTCTGAGTTCTCTCAGCCTTCCGACCGAGTTTGTTTTCCCGAGGTATTCTGGAAGGAGAATAAGTTTATCTTATGGAAAGATATTTCTAAAGTAAAAAAAACATTAGACATTTGATTGTCAAATTAATAATATGGTACAAAATAGTTTTTCCTATCTTAGATCTATACCAGAGGTGGCTAACCCTGCTCCTGGAGAGCCGCCTTCCTGCAGATTTCAGTTGCAACCCATATCAAACACACCTGCCTGTAATTATCACGTGGTGTTCAGGTCCTAATTAATTGGTTCAGGTGTGTTTGATATGGGTAGCAACTGAAATCTGCAGGAAGGCGGCTCTCCAGGAACAGGGTTGGCCACCCCTGATCTATACCAATATAAATAAGTTAAAATCTATCCTTTAAGAAATTGCAGAAAATGTCTTTATATTTGGATTAGTTATGCACTGTATCTGTGTGTGAGTCAGGGTTCTCTGTCTCGCTTGCAGCTTGTACAGAATTCAGCGAGAACACATTACACCAGTACTTGTTTCTCTACACTGGCTGCCAATCCAACTTAGAATTCAGTACAAAGTTCTGTTGTATGTTTATAAATCCCTTTATTGCCTGGCCCCTGAGTATATTTCTGAGCTAATTATTATGCACCAACCTGTGAGATCTCTTCGCTCTATGGATTGTCTCTATTTGCAAGTTCCGAGATCACGCTTAAAATGTCGAGGTGATAGAGCTTTCTCGGTAGCGGCTCCAAGGAACGATCTCCCACTCTCTTTAAGAACAGCTCAAACTTTTGAGTCTTATCAGAGGTCACTGAAAACACACTTATTTTCTTTAGCTTTTAATCATGTGATGTGAGTTTGTGTTTTTTGGTTTTATGTATATTTTACATGCGTTATATGTGTTTTATGTACAGCACTTTGGTAATCATTGTGAATTGTGAAAGCGCTATAGAAATAAAGCGAGTTGAGTTACCAAGAAGTGAGAGAAAACTACTCTGGTGCTTATTAAATTACACTGGCTTCCTGTACATTACTGGACTCATGTTATTATATGTTATGCATGATTTAGCACCAGAATATATTTCTGACTTAACCCTATAAGGAATTACCACGATCCCCACGATCTCATGTAAGGTGATCAAAGCTTCTCTGTTGTTTTTCAAAATGACATGTCAGTGAAATCTTCTTAAACACTCTTTCTGTATTTCAAAGCGCACTTAAAACTCATTTATTTTCCCTAGAATTTGATCATGTTTTATGATTTGTTCTTGGTTGTTGTGTGTATGTTTTTTAAAATTCAGCTGAAGTCACAATTACACTACGATTCTTTGGATTCATCTTCAATGCCTCCTCCTTCATCTTACCCCAGACATGCTCAATAATGTTCATGTCTGGTGACTGAGCAGGCCAATCCTTAAGCATCTCGACCTTTTTTGCTGTTAGGAACTTTGATATGGAGGCTGAAGTATGAGAAGGAGTGCTTTCCTGCAGAAGAATTTGCCCTCTCCTGTGGTTTGTAATGCAATGGGCAGCACAAATGTCTTGATACCTCAGGCTGTTGATGCTGCCATCTACTCTGCAGATCTCCCCTATACTGAATGTAACCCCAAACCATGATTTATCCTTCACCAAACTTGACTGATTTCTGTGAGAATCTTGGGTTCATGTGGGTTCCAGTAGGTCTTCTGCGGTATTTGTGAGGATTGGAGAGTTCAACACATGATTCATTGGAAAAAATCTACCTTCTAGCCTTTAAATGTCACTTTAAATTGTGTAGAAGTGTCTTGAAAAATATCTAGTAAAATATTATGTACTGTCATCATGGCAAAGATAAAATAATTCAGTTATAAGAAATAAGTTATTATAACTTATATTTTTAGAAATGTGTTGAAAAAATATTCTTTTCAAAAAAAAAAAATATGTAGGGGGGCTAATAATCCTGACTTCAACTGTATATGTATATTTTGACTTTGTCTTCTGTACAGCATTTTGGCCCCAAATTATGGACTTGAAAGTTCTTTATAAATAAAGTAAATGAAGTTTGGTGTAAGCCGAAGTTTCAATGGCAGCTTTCACAGCACTTCGAATGAATCACGCAAAATGAGCAGTCGCAGCAGAGTTCATTAATTCTACATGGAGTGTGAAAATAAAGCGCCTGCAGATGCTGGAGTCAGTAAAAACAGGGCTAATTGAGTTTAAAAAGCTAACTTTAGTTTCATTGTGTAGCTCCAGCCTCCGTGGGATACAAGTAAACGATCAGCAGAACATTGACCCTAAAACTAACAAAATCCGACAACTGTTAGAGGAAGTGACTTGAGGCTTGAAATTTAAATGTCAGAAAACAACAAAAGCCAGCACTAATGAGATTAAAAATTCATTAAAAATTTGAAATGATATGCTCCTTAAAGCGTTATCTCCAAACGAGAGGGAGGATTACAAGCCCACTGGAAAGATAATATGTAAAATATGCGACATTATCCTCTCTTCGTTAAAAAGGTTAATGATCAGGGACAGTTTTAGTAATAATTGTATAACAGAATGATGGGGGGAAAGAAAGCAAGACGTCCTTTCATCCCGTCTCAAAGGACACAAGCGGGATAGCTCTGATTAAACTTTATTAAAAACAAATGGCGTAATAAAGTAAAAATCAAAGTTATGGTGGTGATAAAAGCTCTCTGTAGAGAAGCTCTTCTCATGTCGATGTGCTTTTATCATTCTGCAGGACTTAAAACAGATTATTAGCCCTTTTCCTTTTTAAATATTTCCTAAATTATGTTTAACAGAGCAAGACATTTTTCACAGTATGTCTGATAATATTTTTTCTTCTGGAGAAAGTCTTATTTGTTTTATTTCAGCTAGAATAAAAGCTGTTTTTATTTTTTAAAACCATTTTAAGGTCAATATTATTAGCCCCCTTAACCACTTAAACTCTGCTGATATTTTGGGATTTCCGCCTGGATTTTGCCTACCCAAATTTAAAAGCTTCCCAAAATCCACATACAGAGGTGTAAATGCAAAAATTTGGTATCATTTTAAAGAAAACCCTTTGAATTTTAATAAAACACTATTGAAGGTGTTTAAAAAATCTGTATATGTTGTCTGTGTTATAATAAACAGCTAAAAAAAGAAGCGCTTTTTGTATTTTTTTTTATAAACTCAAATTTGAAATTGTACCTGTTAGGTTCTGTGTGGTCTAGCGTGCTGTAATTAATTTTGGTGGTTTCTGCACATGTCTGTAATCATAGGAAAAAAGAAAAATGTCTCTACCATAATCTATGCAAAAGTTATTGCATTCCAACTGATGAGAGGTGCTGTACAAGCCACAGGGACCGATGATTGTTTTCATATTTCACTATTCTTTTGTTTGATCAAACATAATTCACTGTGTTTGAACCACATCAGACATATAAAAGGATTACTGATCCACATCCCCTCAAAAACAGAGGAGAATGGCTCTGAAGGGCACAGCATAAGGTAAGAGATGACAGCTGTGTGCTATCTGGGGCTGCTCATTGATCATGAATGTATTGTTTACAGTTCTGCGCCATGGAAACACCGCGATTCATTCGACAACTGTTTGACATATGAATATAATTCAGTAAAAAGAATGCTAGAACTGTATGAGCACCGGCAAGAGCTTTCATTTGAGCTATAACTTGTATATGTGTCATATAAAAAAATATGAAAATGAACCAATGTAAAATACCTAGCTTGTGTATCCAAAATACTGTGTATTCAAGTGTGAATAACTTTTATACAGTTAAATAAAAATCAAAGTGATGAATATAGAAAAGTGATAAAATATAGATTCTACACTTTCAAACGACACCACTTACGGGGGTCTGGTGCAACCCTAGCCCTTTAAATCTTAAAGCGAAAGTCGATGACGTCGCAGAGTTTAAGTGGTTAAGCAATATTTCTTTAGATTGTCTACCGAACAAACCAATGTTATACAATGACTTGCCTAATTACCCTAACTTACTATGATACTATGATGGCAGTCCTGCAAAGAGAGTAAGTGAGATGCTGATTACTCTTGTGAGAGTGCGTCACGTCTCAGCGGTGTGTTGGTGTGAGCTGGGGACCTTTCTGTTTGTACCTCTGGGCTCTTGGGGTTTAAGTATTACCTCTGCATAATTAACTGGCCGGTTATGAAAGCAGGATTATGTAAGACACTAGAGAAAGAGAGAATAACAGTAGGAGCCATAAAGAGAGAGAGAGAAATCACATGTGTACTGACCAATTTGCAAGTGGAGGAGGAGGAGAATTAAGCCACATGCCTTTATCTGCTTTTATTTGAAAGACATCTGTGGTCGGGGAAATTATTTTTAAAATATATATTACATTTGTATTAACAGAATTGCATAATATATTCTTCGGGTTGAATACTTACAAGTATTTAAGGATTGTTATTAAAAATGAAAAAAAAAATGTATAAACTAAATTATTAAAATGATTTTATACATACATTATGCATACATTATATATACATTATGTACACACACAAGAAATTATATAATTGTGAGTGCTAGTTTGATGGGATGATATTTAAAAACAATTAATTTTTTATAAAATATATTACAATTTAATTTATCTATTCAAATTTTTTTTAAATATCTATATAATTGTGACTGCTAAATTGATGTGATATTTTACTATATATATATATATATATATATATATATATATATATATATATATATATATTATTTAAAAAATATTACACTTACAGTAAAATAATCGCATAAAATATTATTCAGATAAGAATTAATATATATTGCAAAAACTGAATAAAAATCATTTTAGATTTAAAAAATATCATTATTACTGGTTAATTGATGTGATGATATTGAAAAAAGATATAACATTTACAGTAACATAATTATATATTATTTAGATTTAATATTTAAGGATTGTTATTAAAATGCATTTATATATATATATATATATATATATATATATATATATATATATATATATATATATATATATATATATACACACATACATATATATCTATCTATCTATCCATCCATCCATCCATCCAAATAAATTTATATATGTATATATGTGTGTGTGTGTGTGTGTGTGTGTGTGTGTGTGTGTGTGTGTGTGTGTGTGTGTGTGTGTGTGTGTGTGTAAATTTTAAACAAATAAATATATAACTGAATAACTACACTGTATTATAAATAAATACTGATATATGCAACATTTTTTTGAAACATCAACACTTTTACCAGCTCATTAATGATTTAATATTAGAACTTTTGATTTTCTGGCTTTACATCCTTCATAAAAAGATGCATAACATTTCTTTAAGAACTACATATTTTCTATGATATAGATGTTTTTTTTAAGCCTAACTTTCTTCTCAGGACCAAATATTTTACAATATGCAAATGTAGCTTAGATGAAAAAAAATCTACTAATTTTAAACTTTTATATATTGACCTTATTCTAAAATGCGGAAGTGCGCCTGTTTTCGCGATTGTCTTAGAACTTCCGATTCAGTCGCAAATGAGAGAAATGACAAGGAATAATAAACGGCAGAAAATGGCCAAACTACTTGCTCAACAAACAAATGTTTGCATGACTACACAGACCAAGTAGCATAATATAATAAGAAAATATTAAATTGCAACATCAAGCAGCGTAACGAGCAGTTGTTAACGTCAAAAAATGAAGTGAATGTGACCGGAAGTCTCGAGACAAAAAGATTCAAATGGCAGCGCCCGCTCGTCAGCTGAGAATAAGGTGAATAGATATGCATTTTTTTTATCCTTGACAGCCCAAGATTTTCTCTTAGATTATATAATAAAATAAATAAATAAATAATAACATTTTATTTCATGCATCATCAATAACTTGTTAAATATATTTTACTCTTTTACACAACTCTAAAATCCTCAGAACTCATCTTTTTAAACTTCTAAAAAATGTTATTATTGCATAAATAAATTGAGTCATTTGGGATAGATGAAAGCACTTCTCCAGTGTATCCTTGTTCTTTTTCCTCCAGTGCTGCTGCAGTGAGAGCTGTAGTGATGCGATGTGTCAGAGCTGAACACGTGAGAGATCGTCTGCAAGCGGAGCTCTGAATCTGCCCTGAGGCGCTCTCAGACTCCTCTGCTTCACTTTCTGCTGGAGCTTTCCTTAATCTTCAGCCATCACACTCGTCTGCAGCTCTTCCACATGCAGATCAGACACGTGACCAGCACTGGACAACAAGCACTTCACAGCCGCACTCACCAGCTTACAGTAATGTAGAGGATGTGCAGGACTAAAAATGCCAAGCAGACGCTGATGGATGGAGCTAAATTAGTGTGTGATAGCGCTGAAAGATCATGGAATAAAAATGCGATATTGCAATAATTATATTTTTTACAATATAACATTTCCCTTGAAAATGCTGTTTTTATAAGCTGTTTAAGATCAAACAAACAGGTAAAATATATATTTTATTAGGCGAATATATCGATTTTATACGTTCACTAGAGTGATTCTGATTAATGTTAGCTCCACATCTAACTATCAGGCACCTGTAGAGTTTATGCGTTCGAGTACAACATATACAAATAAAATGGACCAGGTGCTTTTTAAAATGAATGACGGTGAATTAAAGTAAAACCGGTGAGCCGTCTGACAAAAAAGGGCCCTTCTGAATCAAATCAGCAGGATCAAATCGGAAGGATGCCCATCTGGACCTTTCACTTACTTTGAAGGAAGACACTACTGAAATGTAGTAATTTGCCTTAAAAGACAATAATATAATTAAGGTGTTTACGTGAAGTGCTTTTTGAATGTTGTGGCCTAAGGCTTTACACGTTTCCTGCACTTTCACATAATTTTGGGTGACTTTAACTGCAGTTCGGCAGTTCACTTTCACTCATGAACATTTCATTCATGCCCCAGCGACTAACTGGGGTATTGGACACAAATAAGGAGTAAGGACTGGTGGAAGAGTGTTGTTTTAGTGGAATTTAATAACGCCGAATGGAAAGAAAAAACCTCTGCATTTTGCAATGTGTTTGCGAAGTCCTTTACTGTCAGCTGCATGTGTGGATCTTGTCGGAAAAAATGGCGAAAAGTCCTACATGATGGTAATAGTTTGACTGTGGTGTTTACTTCAGTAATGCCACTAATATCTGCAGACTCCACATCCTGCTTTCATTTCTGTTTAGTTCACTTATGACTTCAGTCGGATTAAGGTCATCAAAAAAAATAAAAATAAAATAATAATAATAATAATAATAATAACTCACTGTTTGGAGCTTATGTAGGTCCACAGTTCAAAATTGATGTTTAACTGAATAAACAGTTAGTAAACACAAGCACATCTTATTGAAGATCATTTATTTTCATCACTAATTATCATAGAACAGTTTCTCAAGCAGATTGTGATGCATTTTGGAAACAGGAGATGAGCCCCTGATCTAATGCGCCACCTGGCTTGAGAAACTCGTTCTCAAAGACTTACTTTTAGTCATTATTTGGGTATCACACATATTCTGAATGCCTTCGGCAGAATTCAAACGAGCCATTTTAACCTTGATTAATCTAAATTAAATCCAAGATTACAGTAAGATAAATCTACATTTAAAAAAATATATCAATGCCCACCTATAATATATCTTATTACTAGTTTTGTGGTCCCATTGAATTGTGGCCATTTCTGTATCAGACAATAAATGCTTATTTTTAATGTCATCAGGCATCTGCATACTCCACGTCTTAATATCATTTCTGTTTAGTTCAGTTATGACTTCAGTCGGATTGAGGTCATCAAAAACCACCGTTTACATGATGACTCCTAATCAAAGTATTGTCTTAATTGTTTTAAAATCTATTCAAAGTATTGTTGCCCATGTAAACATGCTCAATGTTCGACTCAACCACACCATCAGAGCTGTGAACTTGGCTTTGTGAAGCAGCATTTTCTATACATGTACGTACATCAGACGCAGGTATGCTATGGCACACACTTATTGACAATGGAAGATGATTCATGGTTAGTCGTGTCAGGAATCCAACCATGTTGTCCTCACAGAAACAGGCTCAGCCATCTCAACTCAATCAGGTAAGCTATATTTTTATGTTTCAATGTAATTAACGCAAGCATAAACGCAGCAAGTAATATGTGAATGATGTTTGCACATGCTTTATAATTTTGGCTCGCGGGAGCGGGGTTGGAGGCCGTGAAAGAAATCAGCCAAACTTGGGTGTGTTGAAAACTCCTGCACTCAGCCTGCGACCTAGAGCCAACGCTTGCCTCCCACCAGTGCCTAGACAGCCATATCACACTGCTACTCATGTGATATTGCTCATATACACTCTGTGATTTGTAAAAATGCATTAAAAAATGCGTAAATAATGCAAATAAATTCATAAAACGCATTTACTTGTGAACTTACCGCTATCAATGAATGAGTTGACTCGATTACATTGAGTACTTTAGTCAAAAAGATCCAGTCATTTGTTCATGGACTACACTGGCTGTGTTATTCGCTGTGTGGAAGGACACACAACCTAACGCATGCTTTCTATTTAATGTCCATGATTTATTTAATGATCCCTTTCTTTCATTTAGGATTTTAGGACTTCCTAGGTGAGAGAAAGATTTCAAAAGCTGGCTTTCACACTAATCAAGCTTGAGTCCACACACCAATACATGAAAGGAAGAAGCTGCGGCAAAAGGAGACATGAAAGCAGAGGACAGATGAGAAGATGCACCTGAGCTGCTGGATGAGATCTTCTCCTTCTTTGATGACGTTTACAGTGAACTGCAGTGTGGTTTGTTGCTGCTGCCCGAAACGCTTGATCAGATCCTGCACGGCTTCCACAGACTCGGCGTACACATCGTCCAGCAACTCCTTCTGCAGCTCCTCCAGCCACGTCCACAACTACACACAAATCACAAATGTACAGTTTTATTACCCACCCCCCCCACTGTACACCATATAATCATGCATTTTTGATTGCTGATGGTTTTCCCTGTTGGGAAGATGTCAATTTTTTATTTTCACTGTAATACGAACATAACAAAAGGGTAGTCTTTTCTAATAGTGCACAACGGGTGGGGGGGTGTGGGTTAACTAACATTAACTAAAAATACCCTATTGTTTAATATGGCCGATAAGTGAATATTATATGCAACAACAGAAAAACTCAATTGTGAAATGTATAAGCATTTAAATAGATTTTCCCTCTGAAAATAATAGTCTCACACACAAAAACCTCCATATTATGCATAAAAGAAATCACAGTCACACACACACACACACACACACACACACACACACACACACACACACACACACACAACAAAAAAACCCTCCACATTATGCATAAAAACACTAGCATTGCTCAGAGAAGGCGATCTGAGAAATGAAGCCTTCTGTTTTGAAGATTACCACTGAAGGAAGTGAATTTGTATCAAAAGCAGGTGCTTTGATGGTTGACGGGGAAAGGCTCTACAGAGAATCTTCCATATTTAAAAGCAAAGAATTGAACTTTTCCTGACTAGATTTTAACAGGCTGACTTTATAACGTCTTTCCTCGGGAGGCTGCGTGTTCCCTTAAAAGCCCTTTAAAGCACTACTGCAGAAAACAACATATTGATGATGTATTTTATTTAATGTCATGTCAGAAACAAAGGCTATTTTTATGACAAGAACATTTCATTAATAAATATACAATTACAAACCACTGAATACATGAATTAAATCCTTTTTAGCATTAATACTTTGTTAAAAATGGCCTTATTTCATAAAAAAAAAGTCTTCTATTGTCATTAAAAGCATGGACAGTCCAGTAGAAGGTGTTTTACTGTAAGACCAATTGTGCCAGAAACAACATCTTAACGTTGCTACTCAAGCATCTGGTTCTTACCTCTTTGACGTGAGTGTGGAAAGCCACTGACATGTCCAGCAGGACCTTGCGCTGCTCCACGCGCCGAACAAAGTCCTGGATTCGGTCCTCCAGCTGATGAGCGGCCTGATAGATCTCCTCTGGGTCACACTCGCCTGTCTGGGCCAGCTGCTCTGCCGCTTCCAGAAGCTTATCCGCATTTGTGTACGTGTTCTGAAGAGGAGAGATGTGTGGATGAAGATGTGCATGTCAACATTAAAGATAATTAAAAAAAAATACTTAAAATCACCTTTGCTATTTGAAATAAATATTGAAACTAAATAATATGGCATAAATGTAAACTTGCTGTCTTGATTTCTTCTTGATTTACATTACAATTTAGATTTTTTCCCCCCAAATTAAGATATGTCAGAGAGGCTGAGAAATTAATAATGTAAACAATATAATAGTTTTTGTTGTTACTTTCTTTGTTTAGAAATAAGAAGAATACGCATATGTTGTAATTCTAGTTCTTCAGAACTGACTTGTTTCTTGCATTTCACGTTTTTGACAATCAACAAAACGAAAAATAAAATAAATGAAACTAAATTGTGACGTGTAAACCATGTGAATGTTAACATTGAGGAGAACTAAAGTCATTAAAAGTAAAATGATTTATGTTACTTGACAATAATATGAAATTGAAACTAAACATGAAAACTAAACTAAACAAAACTAAACATGACTAAAAAATGTTGAGTCAATATTCTGGAGCAAAAATAAGTGTAAATGAATAAGAGTTTACATACTGCAATTATAATTTCTTAGAACGGCACCTTTAGGAATATTTTGGATTTTTTGCCATATGGCAAAGCTGTAACTGTCAAAAGGACAACTTTTGGCCTTGGTTTCTTGTTGGATTTTGTCACAAATTCAGATTTTTTTTTTTTCATTAATTAAAAAAATGAAGAAAATGTAAGAGAGAAACTTCAAAATTAAACAAGTCAAAAAACTGAAAAGAAAATTCTGAGTACATATTGTATTTCTAGTTTCTCAAAACTGCAACATTGTTTCTTGCATTTCATGATTCTAATTATTTATCGACAAAATGTCATATGACATATAAACTACACTAACATTAAAGATAACTAAACCATAAAAGTAAAATCATTATTGTTTCTTGAAAAAAATAATAACTTATATATATATATATATATATGTTTATATATATATATATATATATATATATATATATATTTTTTTTTTTTTTTTTCCTCTCAGAAATATGCCTTTCTTGAAGTTTAAGATTCTCACTATTTCTGACAAATCTTTCAGACTTGTTTCCTCAGAATAACACGTTATAAGATTAGAATTGTAAATTTAAGAGACAAAAATGCTAGCAATGAATTCAAAATTCACAAAAACAATTTACTTAATTGTGACAACCTAGTAACTAAAAGTCAGATTTTTAAGAAAATAAGTCACTAGTATACATTAAACTCCCATAAGAATGATAGTAGAGTGAGTGTCAAACCTGAGCCACTTCCTCAAAGTCTTCATGGCGTTTCTGCAGAGCTCGAGCGCGATGCAGAGATTTTCCCACCCCTGTGTGCTTGCTGAGAAATGCCTCGCCATGGTTCTCAATCCAGTCCAGAACCTACACACACAGACACACACAGACACACACACAGATACACACACAGATACAAACAGACACACACAGACACAGACACACACACACACACAGATACACACACACAGACACACACACACAGAAAAAAATATTCATTAATTTCTGATACAGCACTAGAGCACTCCAGTCCTCCTTAAGGCAAGAATGTGTCCTGTCAGAACGGTTTACAGTGACTCCCTGGAGGATTTGTAATTATTCGATCCCATTTACCAAAAAAAATGCAGTAAAAAAATATTGCTGTATTTCTGATTTTGACTATATTATAATAACATGCACCTTTTGAAAAGCTGCTTTGGAATGATATTTAATTTATAATCAATACATAATATATAATTTAATATATAAGATATGATTATTGAAATATGTGAATTGAATTGTTTCTCTAAGTGTTTGCTTCCTATAAATTAGTGCAATGACTCTTAAGGTCAAAAAAAGAAACACAATTTTATAGTATGTGTGAAGTCTGTCAATAGTTAAACAGCAAATACACAAGGAATGCTGCAAATTTTGAGAAACAAAAGCTGCAAAATACTTAATACTTAAATACTATTAAAAATGCTTTAATGATTAACTTTACTTAAATAAATGCAGGTCAAATCAAGACAGGTGAGACTGCAGAGTCCAGGACTGAAACCATCATGCAGAAAATGTCATTCTCAGTCAGGCTCATTGCATCCTCAGCACCTGAATAGTGGTTTCCATGGCAACAGTTTCGTTCATCCTCAGAACGAGCCGCTCTGCATTTTTTTGGTCGAACACCTCGATGCAGAAACCCAGTCTCTGCACCAACACACTGAACACAATCTAGCAGAGGCTTATCCTTCACTTCGCAACACACCACTATTTCTGTTTGCGAGCCGAATGCTGTGATCTAAGGGAACTTCAGCCCTGATGTTGTGGTGGTGTTTTCTCTCATGCATTAAAGCGGCAGCGCTCAGTAATTACATGCTGAACTCAAACCTGCTGAGGGAAGTAGGAATTTTGGGAGGGGAAAAAATGAGTGGTAAAAATGTTTGCTGCAGCATAATAAGGAACAGGGAAAGATCTGCAGCTTCAGTCAATGAAAAAACACTGCTAGACTACTTATAATCATAAATAAAATAAATAAGTAAAACAAATAAATAAAAAATACATGTTATTATAAATGCACTACATTTTTTTTATGGTAAAATGAAATTGTTAAATTCCTTTGGTCACACACACGTTAATAAACTAAACAAAATAAAAGTAAATGTCAATGCAATGTAAAGCAAATAGGAACAGTATAGTATGCCAGTAATCATTTTTTAAAAACAAGCAAATATATTATATTAATATAATAAATTATAAAACAATTGAGAAGATATGTTTGTAATGTGTGTATATATATATATATATATATATATATATATACATATATACACATACACACACATATGTACATTATATATATATATATATATATATATATATATATATATATATATATATATATATATATTTTTTTTTTTTTTTTATTAATTAATTCATTTTTTTTTTCAATTGTTTTATGAATTATCTTAAAGCAAGGAATTTTTTACAGCATTTCCTATAATATTTTTTCTTCTGGAGAAAGTCTTAATTGCTTTATTTAGGCTAGAATAAAATGTATATAAAATTGAGAAAAAAATATAAAATAATTAAAATTTAACAGGAGGGCTTAAACTTTCCTTATAATAATATTTATTTTATTTGATACATATTTATCTGCAGCGGAGGCTTGTAAGGTGGGAATGGGATACTTTGTTACCAACATTATAACAAAATGACTGACGAAAATGCATCCGTTAGCATAATATCTTTGAATCACAGTTCCTCCCCTGCCGTCCAAAGCCAAGGCCCCTAAAATCACAGACACGCACCCAGTCGCAACCTTAAGGATGACAGTAAACAACCCACTAGATCATGTCATTTGCCAGTTATACAACTTTATAGTATTTTATAACACTACAATTCCTAACGAAAAAACTATCTAGCCTGTTTTCAGTTGTGTAGCAGCAAAACAATATTTCAAGCATGCAAGGATTTCTGGTCTACTTTCAAGAAACGACTAAAAACTCAACTATTTAGTCTCCACTACACTTCCTAATCTGTAATTGCCTCTCTGAATATCACACTAACTGCACAAAAAAAAAATAAAATAAATAAATACTAATACTACTAAAACTTCCCTTCTTAGACTTTACAGACCTGAAACTTGCTTATAGCACTTATTCATTGTTGCTCTTGGTTGTGTAAATTGCTTCCTTGTCCTCATTTGTAAGTCGCTTTGGATAAAAGCGTCTGCTAAATGACTAAATGCAAATGTAAATGTAAATGTCTTACTCTCTCTCGCGCTTTGTCCTAAAGCGACTACTGTATGCTTAGTGGTTAGCTGGTGGCATGCAGGAATTATAGTCATTACTAAGCCATAAATACATGCCATTTTAGAATGAATATTCAGAGTAGCGGTAAACACTATAGGGAGCGCGTCACAGGTTGTCAATGTTCAATAATGAACCAATGTGAATATAAAACCAACTTGACCTCAGTAAAGCAGGCTAGCGCTCTTCACTGACGTTTTGTTGTTTAACTAAATAAAATTCCACAATATCGATGCTGTAAAAGCTCCCTCATGAAACTGAAAATAGTCTCATCAATCTTCTATCAGAAGATTTCAGTGGCTGAACAACACTTCTGTGCATATAACCTATTCATAATGCAACAAAATCTACATCAGCTTAACCAGTACTATTAATATGTGAAGAGAATTTCAACCAGCATAAACAAAATGTTTCTGAAGACAATCACCTACTGCAACTTTAATATTAATGATTAATGTTTAAATCTGTTAAATGAAAGTTATCCCTTTAGTTATTCATGCAGCCTCCACTTCCCTTCCTTTGTATCTCTTTCACACTCTCTCATCCGCTTGTATCATCTCTACGCTTTTGAAATCGTCCCCCAAAGGTATTATGACACGCCACGTGCAGCCACTCGCACCCACGTGGATCTAGGGGTATTTTTAGGTGAATGAGCATTTGTGTTTGTGTGTGTGTGTGTGTGTGTTACCTGCTGAACGTCCTGCTGGAAAACACACAGCTGCAGACGCTGGTGCAGCCGGACCTTGCGATGTTGCCAGATGTTCTCCAGCTGCCTTTGGTGATGCAGAACCTCATGGATGATGTCCAAAACATGGTTCACCGCCTTGGTGTAATTGGCGGAAGCTGTCAGCGAATCAGCACTGCCGGGCGTCAAGGGGCGCTGAAGTTTGTCCAATAAGGCTTTTCCGTCTTGGCTCACCTGGGAATAATTACAATTGCACAAACCAGTTATGCTACATTAAGTGGATGAAGTTATTAGGTGATTCTTAATAACAGAACATGTTATATAATATACATCATTCATTCATTCATTTTAATTATATATTCACATACAGTTGAAATCAGAATTATTAGCCCTCCTGTTAAATTTGAATTCTTTTATATTTATTTCCTTCATTTTTCTGTTTAACTGAGAAGTTTAACACATTTCTAAACATAACAGTTTTAATAACTCATTTCTAAGAGCTGATTTATTTGATCTTTGCCATGATGACAGCATATAACATTTGGCTAGATGTTTTTCTAGATACTACTGTTCAGTTTAAAGAGACATTTAAAGACTTTATTGGGTTAATTAGGCAAGTTGGAGTAGAAGTTTCACTTCTGAATGAGTCTGTTTTTTAAACGAATCAAGTAAGTCAATAGCACCTGTAAGAACCAGTTATGCATAATGTGATAATAATTTAGTTAAAAAGGTTAAAACATGATTAAAATTGATATTTAAATATAATAAGAATGCGTTGTGATTGTATTATTTAAATTGCATAATTTAATAATTGATACAATTTAAAAACCTTCACTTTGGTATTTTGGCTTCCGACAATAATACGTCATAAGGTCATTAGTTTATACGTTTAAGTCAGATTGCACTTATGGATGTTGGAAGCAACATAGTTTTTTTGACCGACCCTGTTTGAGTCTATTATAACTGTATTTTTGTTTGCATTTCTTCAGTCAACCCTTTTTAACCCTTAAAGACCGAAACAGACACCCGCGGCTAAAAATAGGTATTGTTCTTAATTGTTTAATAACTTTTGATCGGCCATACAATTCAAAGATTGGCATAAAGAAGAGAGTCTCAGCTTTATATCGCTGTAAAACATTACATTCACGGACCTTCGGAGGCTCCGGAAACAGTGTGGTTATGTCATAACATTTTGACAACGCTGATTTGACAAAGGAACGCTCGTAGCTTGTGTCTCCGGACAAACCAGACATGATGCATTGACGCATTGTCCCTTCTCCATGCCCAGATTGGTTCAAACTCGCTCTCTCTGAACCAATAAGCATAGGTTTTGCTTAGTGGACCAGCAAGCAGCTATTTGAACAATCCGGAATGAGAAATAGGCTGCACATTTACGCACGGCTAAATAAAACTAAAAAAAAAAAAGTTTTGCATGAAATAATACTCATACTAAGTACTTTTGCGTGCACAACAGCACAAAAACATGACAAAACAGTGACACAGCAAAGACGAAGTGCTGGTCTTGCTGTTTTCAAAGGACGCATATGACGGTGCGGCTGTTTGTCTGCAACACAAAAGTTGAGAAGCAGCAGGGTCAACACCATATCTATGCTAGCACATAAAACCTAAGGATGGTCCACATTGAATTTAGTTTAGTTTATAGTATAGTTAATATTTATATTTAATTTTTTACTGAGGATTTGCACCATGTTTATTTGGACTTTGACGCATTATTTCTTATTTCTTACTCTTCATTTGTTCATTGTAAGTGATGTTGTTTATGGGAACTGAAAATATATTATTTGGAAAAAGTCAAACTTGTTTCAGTGTTCTGTTATTTTGTAACATTTTTTTTGTTTAGTTCATTCCCAGAACTTTTTTGCAAATACATTGTCAGTAAATAAATGCACTTGTTTTTTCCTCACTGAAAGACGCCTTAGAATAACATTGACATAAATTGCTATAACTTGCTCAGGGAAAGGTGGATGTAGACAAAATTATTTTGGAAGTATAAAACATCATAGTGTGTATTTCTAAAGAAAAAAAAAAACTTCATGAGGTTTTGTTTGTAATAACTAGAAAACGGCCTTTTTAAAAAAACTAAAATTCTGGAATATTTTCTGTGTTCATATGTTTTTGGACCAAAAAATCTTTTAGACTAGACCTTTAAATGATACAGATTGAAGCTTCAGGTTCTCCTGTTTAAAATAATATATGACACTTGAGGCTGACTGCTAAAATAACAATAAAACTGCTTTTTAAATTTTTTTAATTTTTTTTTAATATTTTTTTTTAATTAATTAATTAATTAGGTGCCAACAAAATACCTCTAGGTCTTTAAGGGTTAAAAGAAGATTCAATCTTACTCGCGTTTTTTCAAATACTGGTTGTTGGAATAGAAGCTGCAAAAGGTGGTACAAAAGGATGTGCACGAAAGGTGTGCCACTACAGCCCCGTTCACACAGTGGTGCCGGTAAATATCCGGAAAATTATTGGAATGACTTTACCGGTAAATTAAAAGAAACTCTGTTCACACAGGCAAGGACATTCCGGAATTTTTCCAGAAAAGACCGTTTACAAAACAATTTCAAAATACCTGTTAATTCTGACATTAACCAGAAATGTCCTCTAAACGGCTGTGCTTGTATTTGTAAACATTGAAGGGGTCAGGCTTTTGTTGATGGTACATATGTGTATGTGCTGGAACTCACTGGCTGTTTCACGTGCACACGTGTCAAGCAACTGAAGCAGAGCTTAAAGGTAAACAAACAGTGGTTTATCATAAGCATTTTATCGATAATTTTTTACACAAGAAATGTTATCCGACTAACATTAATCAGTATTACTTTTGTCATGACTAATTGATCATGTAAGCTTTTACATTGCAGAAACAATCAGAAGTGAATAGTCCAGAGATGAACATTTATTAATTTTCTTTTAGTGCGAGTCCCTTTAGTATTCAGGGGTCGCCACAGCAGAATGAACCACCAGAAGTACATTTATTTAAAGTAATATTATAATATTTTTTTGGATATTAGCAGAATATAAAACTGCCCAGATAAAAACAAAAACTTCCTGCTGTCTATCTACAATAAATGATTAACGCTAAACTAAAATAAAAGAAAATTGAACTAGAGAACTCTATTGGTATTAAAACAGATTAATTGTATAATTATGAATATTATAACACTAAAACATTATTCATGTATTATATGACTTTTGTACAATAAGGGGATTACTACCTCGGCTCACCTGACAAAAAGTGATAAGTAAATGATGGCACAAACCTATTAGGCTAAATGAAGTTGTATCGTCATAGCACAGAGTATTTGATAATAAATATAATTATCTACAATTGCCGATTCAGAGTCAGACATGCCTGTAATTGCAATAATGTGCTGGTATACTTTACTTCAAGATGTGTTCTCTTAAAGGCTCTTTCAGAGTAGTGATTTGGAGCAGCGCGGCTCTGTACCTCCGAGTAGGCAGCGGTGATGTGTTCATACAGGCCCTGGTGATGGTGTATAGCGTCCTCCAGTTCCTGCAGCTCTGAGGGCAGATCCACTTCTCCACACGCTTTACACCACGAGTCCACATTACTCATGTACTGCAGAAAGAAACACACACACATAATCATTTACAGATGAATAATGATGCTGTGCACTATTTATTGGTTATGATAACACCATAATTGTTGTTTGAACACTGGGTGAGCTCATATTATAGAGTTGCTCATTTAAATAAATAAATTCATAAAATTCATAAACTGCTGTCAACTTAACTTTAACCAAACAGTTACACACCTCAGAGCAACATAGCAGTATTTCACTCCTGAAGGAATCTGTATTTGAACAAACTGAATGAGTGAATGATTCAATAAATCAATTGTTCTGATTTAAATGAATCATTCAATGAATCACTTATTAGGACAGTACTTGACTAAAAATTATTCAAATGATTTGATTAAAATCTATTTTTAAAAAGGTTTTAAACAAATCAGTTGAGTCAGTGATTTAATAACCTACTCATAGTCATTTGGTCCGTTTCTTAATGAACCTGCTGTTTTAAATGAATCGTTTTTACGAATGATTAAATGAATCACTTATTTACACTATTCAAGTCAATGATTCAAATGAATCACTCTTTAATAAAAGAACTTGTCGCCACCTACTGGTAGTTTGTGTGACATTTAAATCATAGCAATCTAAAAAAACATAATATTTTGTCAATATTACACAAACCATTTTTGCACACGGAATATAATCTTTAAAATTAAAAAAAAATTAAAATCAATAACTGAACTGCCAAAACCAGAGACCTCAAAGCAAAACTGCTGTGTTTGGTTCCTGAATGAATCAGTTTTTTGAACACATCAGTTGAGTCAGTGATTCAGTGACCTATTCATAAAGTCACTTGATACATTTCTAAATGAACCTGCTGTTTTGAATGAATGATTCAATGAATCACTCATTCAGACAGTGGCCTGTCACCATCTACTGACTGTCATATTAGTTATCAAATCTTACAAAAAGCCAGAACACTTGTACATTTTACTGAAGCGTTTCATTTCTAAACTACATTTATTTTAAGTAATCGAGTCAATGATTCAAATTCATCACCGTTTAAGACAAGAACTTGTCACCACCTACTGGCAGTTTGTAGGACATTTTAAAAAAAATTTAAAAATAAAAATTTTAATAAATCTACCAAAACAGATTTTTTTTCATCAACCATTTTTGCACAAGGAATATACTCTAAAATAACTAAAAATTTAAAAACTAAACTGCCAACTCAAAGATCCAAACAAAATCAGAGATCTCAGAATAACACTGCTGTGTTTGGTTTCTGAATGAATCAGTTTTTGAACAAATCAGTTGAGTCAATGATTCAATAAGCTATTCATAAAGTTATTTGTTCTTTTTCTAAATGAACCGGCTGTAATGAATGAATCATTTGCATGAATGATTTAATTAATCACTCAATCATACAGTGCAGGGCCGGAGTGGGACTCCTTTTCAGCCCTGGAGTTTCAAGCCTCAGACCGGCCCACCTCAGTTCACGACGTGAACTGAAATAAGGTCATTTCCAATTCAGTTTCTAATGACACGATCACGTCTTTTTTTGAGAAAACAGCTGCTTTAAAACTTCAAATGTTCAACAACCCTAACAGTATTATATGTCTTAACAATAAAAATAAAAATAAAAAATTACTCAGCCGAGGATCAAACCCGGGTCGCTGGCGTCGAAACCTAACATGCTAACCACTTGACCACAACAGTTATGAAATCATTCATTTGCAGGCTGCATCTTCATCATGAGGCTGCGAGAAAATAGATAAAAAGAGCAGAGCTGCGGTACAATATTGAATATGAAGACTGTGGTCAAGTAAATAAATACATTAATTTAAAAAGTGTGACTGCTGAGAGCAACAGATTCTGGAGCTATTGACACCGGTCCTCGCGGCCAAAAAAACGGACCGGCCCACCGGGAATTCTCCCGGTCCTCCCGATTAGCCAATCCGGGCCTGATACAGTGACCTGTCATCACCTACTGATGGTTTTAGCGTCATATTTAATTAATTAAATGTTACAAAGTCAGAGCTGAACACTTCAGAGCAACACTGCAGTGTTACATTTATGAAATGATTTTGTATTTTAAACTATAATAGAGTCAATGATTCAAATGAATCATTCTTTAACACAGTACTTGTCGCCATCTACTGGCAGTTTGCGTAACATTCAAATTATAGCTATCAGATAAAGAGACAATTGTTTCGTCAAACAACAAGCTATTTTTTTTACATTACACAAGCTATTTTTGCACAAGGAATATAATCTTTAAAATCACTAAAAAACTAAATCTGAACTGCCAACTCAAATAGTTCCAAACAAAACCAAATATCCACAGCAAATCAGTCGAGTGAATAATTCAACGACTAATTCATAAAAAAAAGCCATGACAGGTCTAAACCAGCCAAAACACAACAGGGCAAAATATCCTTTAATTAACATCATTTAAATAATCCACATCGATATGTATAATAAGCATATTTGTTTATGTTTTCCAGTCTATACAGAGCTCTGGCATCAAGAAGAAGCGGATTACAACTAATGCAGGACATGATGAGAGATGAGCTTCATATGTTGTGCTCTGAATGTCAATTGCAATCAAATGATTTTTCATCTGATCCCAGTCTTCCTCAAAGAAGAGCAGAAGAACTCAAACAGAATCTCATGCATGAGGACAGGCCAAACCAGACCGCCTCCAGACTGGCAGATGTGCTGATGCTCAAAGGAATGAAAAATCTCTGCAGTGGAGATCACTGTTGATATATCCTGTCTACGGCAACACTGCATGTGTGAGAGGAATATCTGATTAGGGAAAGTAAGATTTTCTCAGTTGAAATGACTCAAATTTGATGCTTAAATTAAAAAAACTTTAAAAAGTTACTTAAACTTATTCTTTGTGTATAATAATCAATATCTGTGTATTAAGTGCATGCTAATTAAAGTGTTATTTTCAGCAACTATTGTACTATTTATTCACATTTTGGCCCATGCATGAAATTAAATTATTAAATTATATAAAGGAATAAGTGAACGTCATCACAAAATACTATTATACTCTATAATATTAGAATTAATAACAAATAGATTAAACTTGGGGGTCTGAAGTATAAAGCATATTAAGCATTAATGTTAAAAATAACAATGAATTAGTATTTGGGATCAAGTTGGACTATTAACATGTGCTCCATTATTTTGTCTGCATAAAATTAAACTGACAAAAGTGATTTTATACACAAAGAAAATATTAAATGCAAATAAAGTGTCTACTTTAATATTTTAAATAACTTTGCAGGAAAGGTTCCTAAATATTAGTAAAATAATGTTAATTTATCTTGATATATGAGATTTTATCATATTGAGTAAGTTAAACCCTGTGGTTTATAGAGGTATAAAGCATATGAATTAAACATTTAGTAAAATAAAATAAAATAATAAATAAAAATTATATAATTAGTCAAATTAATTAAATAAAAAATAATTAAATAACATTTTTTTTAAATAAGTTATTAAATAAATATGTTTATTTATTTAATAGAAAACACACACACACACACACACACACACACACACACACACACACACACACACACACACACACACACACACACACACACACACACACACACACACACACAAATATACTCTTTTAATAAGTTTTCAAATGTGTATTTTTCCAAATATGACAACCAAGTGGTTTAAAGCATAAAGCATATTAAGTTTACATTTTAAAACAGAAAATAATAATAATAATTAATTATATAAATTGATGTAGGTTTCATTTATTATAAAATAAATTAATTAAAATAAAATAAAATTAATAAAATTCATATTGAATATATTTACATTAAATGTGTCTTTTTCCAAATAAGTCTAACAAGATTTTTGCCATATTACACTGAATGACATTTTGTAGATTATCTACTTTAAATCTAAGTAAATAATAATAATAATAATAATAATAATAGAAATATTAATAAGCATTATAAAATTAAATCATAAAACAAAAAAATATTACATGGAACCCATTCAACCTAAAAATATTGGAAAAAATGTCATAAAATATAGGAAAATTCCATTTAAAGCAGTATTTTAGTGCTGTTTTGATGCCTAAAAACCCCGGTTTGGTCTCTGGCCCACACCCACTGCTCTCTCCACAGCGTTCTCATTCTGACACCACACTGCAGTGTTTTTCTCTGACCTGGTCGCATTTCTGGTGGAAGGTAGCAGACATCTCCAGCAGAGCACTCCTCTCGTCCAGCGCAGCGGCGAAAGCTTTCCACTCCTGCTCCAGCTGACCTGAGATCTGCTTGATCTGCTGCGACGCGTAATGACCGGCCTCCAGCAGCCGGTTCCCCACAGACATGATGCGGTTTATGTTCACGTAAACATTCTGTGGGAAACAACAGGATAAAAGAAATGACTATCACACACAATGCTGAATGACTGGACAAATGATGCTAAAAATCAGCTTTTCCTCAAAAGAATACTTTTCCTTTTAAATAGATTTAAAAACATTAAATATACTTTACAATATCACAGCATTTACTGTACGTTTCTGTGAGTGATTTGTAAAATATATCAAGATTAAGTCAACCGCATCATAAAAAACCTCCTAATGCCAATAACGGCACCGTTACATGTTTACATCAACATCAGAAGATTTACCGCAGCTCAATATGCCGACATGCTCCTTCTGCCTCTTTCAACAGGAAGTGATCAATACCTCTTTCTACAGTAATGGGGCTTTTTAAAGGAGGCCCCTAACAGGCCCACAGCTGGAGAACAGTAGCCCAAACAGGAAGCACTTAACAGGATCATTGTCTGATTCTATGATGAGTCACCAGCTCTAACACTGACAAGTGCAAACCATTACAAAGCTTATGCAAGCCAACTGTTAAATATATACAGCTGAAGTCAAAATTATTAGACACGCTGTATATTTTTCTCTCAATTTCTGTTGAAAGAAGAGAAGATTTTAGATTTTTTAGACACATTTCTTAACATAATAGTTTTAAAGGGTCATGACACCCCCACTTTCTGTTCAAGTCTACCTCAGAATTGAAAAAAAAGCATCATAAAGGGCATGGAGCTCCATGATCAGAGGCAGGAGTGGGCGTGGCCAACCATACCTGTCAACCCTCCCGTTTTTCCCGGGATTCTCCCATATTTTACTGTTCTATCCCGCTATCATCCCGTAAAGGTTTTTTCCCGTATTTCTCCCATATTTTCAGTTTTTCTTTGAACAGCCGAGCCTCCCTATACGCAACCCATACTGCCGAACCACCAGGAGTGAGACTCAGTGCAGCAGGTCTCTTGCCCTGTCTATTTTAACCATTAGCCCTGCTGGTAATCTGGAGGATTTAGGCGAACACAGCAGCACGGTGATGTGTCTAAATGTGAACGAACTCCTGATAAAAGACAGCGTCCTCCATTCACCGCCATACTCTTACTGCTCTCCCGACAAAAACGCTTGCTGCACACAAACAGCTTTGTTGTATCGGCCCTGACAGCATTGCTGGGAAAAACATGCAACAAAACCCGTGGACCATGGAAACAAACACATACGACCCTTCATGAACAGCTAAATACTCTGTGCCATGGGTCAATGCTGAAAAATCTGTTTGGGAAACAACGTGTATTTATTACTATGGAAGGCGTTAGCTGACAGTCACGCACTGCTATATGATTGTTTAGAGGATTGTATAGGAGGGGCGACGGCACCTGTAATGAAAAGGAAGGGAATCGCGTAATTTTTATATTTATTACAAAGTGATTTCATGCCTAAATAAAACGAAATTACAAAACAGACTCGCATTTAAGAGCAAGGGGCATCCACTAGTGGTTCGTTGGTATGGGTTGCAAATATGCCCATTCATAGAAAGATTGAAATTACGTGAGAAATACTGGAAAATACCTTTACGGGATGATAGCAGGATATGACTGTAAAATACGAAAGAATCCTGGGAAAAACAAGAGGGTTGACAGGTATGCGTGGAACATATATATGACTGTCAACATCTCAAAAAAGTGTTCTGGTGTTTCGTGACCCTTTAATAAGACCTCAGTGCATCTCCATGAGCCAAACATATTATTTTATGTGTTTATTTTGAACTCTTAAAATGCCTGTAGCCATTGATTTGAACTTCATCACAAAGGATCCCAATTTCAGCGACAAATCTTCTCTGATTTTCTACTGGAGAAAATAAAACCTGGTTTAATAATTGAGTGAATTGTCCCTTTAAATAGCACAAAAATAAATGGCTTCACCCTGTGTAAACATTCGAGATACAGAACGTAGGCAATGACGCAGTGACATTTTGAGTGTTTACAGGAGACAATATTATTCCATCAGAAAAATCTTCTCACCATGCAGTTCATGGCGAAGTGATTGTGCTGGGTCTGCAGCTCCATGGCGTGAGGGTGGTTGTTGCCGATCTCAGTGTATCCAGCCAGAAACAGCCCTTTATTGTGCATGATCCAATCAAACATCTGCAGAGATAGCACACATACACACACGTCATTAGGCTGGAAGCAGGTTCAGTGCATATATGTGTGTGCGTATGCTAGTAAATGTAAGGTATATCCCTCTGGGTGCATGTATGAGCAGCACGTGCACGGTTGTGTTCATAAAGCTGAAACGGATAAAAATAGAAAAGCATAAAAATGACCCGTTTTTCTCAGGAGCAAAGAATAGCTGCTGGTCTCCTAGCAACATGCAAATCTTCCTCCCACCATGAGAAACACAGAGATGAATTAGTGAGGGTTTCTGTCAATATATGTGTGTGGATAAGACCATGGGGTTTGATTGGAAATGTTAACTAGAAGGTTTTGATAAGGGATTAGTTTGAAAACAAGCATCAAGGTAAAAATTGTGCTAGACAAACAGAAAACCCGGTAACACTTTATAATAACTACACAATATAAATAATTCATTAAGCATTAGCAAATAGTGAACTCATCTGTTAAGCATTAACTCTACATTAATAAACGTTAGTAAGCAGTTTATAACTGCAGCTACAAATGCTCTATTCTTGACGTAAAAGCACCTATATATTGTGCTTAATAATTGTACTTTCATACTTTGTTAATGATTTATTTTTCATTACTAAACAAAGTATCGCATTATTTACAAACCAGTTGTATTTGAGAGTAGTTGATGGTTTTTAGGATCATTCAGAATGAGTTCGTAAATGATTAATAAACTATCGGAATCAACGTTTATATGTCTTATTATTCAAGCATATACTAATAGTTAACTAGTATGTTAATAAATGCTTTATTAACTCAACTTCATGCAGATTTGTGACCTAATCTAAAGTGAGGAATATTCATGCTTTATAAATCCTTTATAAGTGTGTGTACCTAGGCCTATTTAGAGTGCTGAGATGTTACGATGTTACAGAGGACTTATTTTATTTCTTTGTTCTTTGTTATTATTAATATTATGTAATAGATTTTCTCTCCAGTTGAATGCAAGTAAAACAAAAGATATGGTGATAGATTACAGGAAGGCTTCTCCAACCCCGAACATAACTAATATTAAAGGCTTGGACATTGAAATTGTTGACACGCATAAATATCTAGGGGTTGTTATTGATAATATGTTGACATTTCAACCTAACACTCAGGCTGTCTATAATAAAGTCCAACAAAGACTGTTTTTTCTGAGGAAACTTAGATCATTTCAGGTCTGTACCTCTATGATGACGCTGTTTTATAAACAATTTATCGAATCTGTTTTATCTTTTTGCATTGTAGCTTGGTACAGTAATCTGAGTGTGTCAAGCAAGAACAGCTTGAGCAGCCTGGTGAAGGTGGCAGGCAAGATCATTGGTTTTAATCAGACTGGTCTAATGGTGATCTACCATAACTATGTTCTAAGGAGAGCTCAGGGTATCCTATGCACCCCGGATCACCCACTGTACTCTGTATTTCAGCTGTTGCCATCAGGACGCCGTTTTAGGGTTCCTATTTGCAGGACAAATAGAACCAGAAATTCTTTTATAATGGTGGCCATTAGGTCCTTAAATGAGTCCAGGGGGAGGGGAATGTTTCTATATACTGATGTATGGATGTTGTGTGGTAATATTTTATTAATGTGTACATGGAACTTTGCCTGTGTTATGATACCTTGTTGCAATTTTAGTTTCCCTAACGGGATAATAAAGCTGAGTCTGAGTCTGTAATGTTAAAACACATATAAAGGAGTCAAGTCAAGTTGCCAATATCTTGCGCATTGTGCTCTATCCGTCAAGTGAGAGTATTTACATAAATTAAAATTTTATTCATTCACAACATTTAATTTCAGTTAGCTTTTTTTTTAGCTCAACAATAAAACAAACAAAATGTTAAGTTGGGATTGTATAGATAAGTTGTTAATACAGATGGGACAGTGGGCCAAATTAAAGGAATTTGATACCACAATCTGATAGAGAACGTGTATCTTTTAAGTAATTTAAGTATAATTTAAAGAAATGGCTTCTTAATAATCAATAATGTGAACACTAGGCTTTTCAAAGTTGTTGTGGGTGTTTTTTGTCGTTCACATGAGTATTGTTTTTAATTTGAATGTGTGTTTTTACTGATATGGCCTTTAACATACAGCAAAGGGACCACTAATAAAAACTAGTCTTTGGGCTAATTTGGGTACATTTACATTCTTGGAGAACGCTGATTAATGTCCCTTGTTGTGAAATAAATTAACTAATCAAAGGTTACCATGGGCCAACGTTGTCCTGCGGGCTCTAGTTTGGGAATCTCTGCTATATGCATTAATTACCCAGCTGAAAAATCCAGCTTAAACTAGCCTAGGCTGGTTTGAGCTGGATATTTTAGCAGGGTATGGTTCTTACCTTCTCAGCGTCCTGCTCGAACAGCCTGAGCTGGAAGCACTGGTCCAGCTGCAGCTTGCGGATGTGCCAGGACTGGTGCAGGTTCTGCCTGGTGCTGTGCAGTTTCTCCAGCAGAGCTGTAATACGGGGCACCAGGCCCTGGGTGTCGGCGTTGGGCTGCCCCTGCCCTTCCCTCTGACCAGGCGGCACAGGCACAGTTCGGTTGGCGTAGCTCTCACTGCTCTGGATCCTTTGCAGGAGCCTTTGGCCCTCATTGTCCACCTCCTCCACCGGAGCCTTTATCACCCTCTTCTTCAAAGCCGCGTGCTCCTCTATCATCCGTCGGGCTCCATCTAAGTCCTGCGGTAAGTCTTTACGCGTCACCGTTTCATGCATCTCTTCTAGCCGGGCGAGCAGGTGCCGAGCATTGCCTGTAAAGTCTTCGAAGGCCACGCGGATTTCAATCCACTCTTCATGGTTGTAGTCCAGGCTGCCCTCAAAGTCAGCCGTCAACTGGGATGGGTCCACCACCTTCGATAAGCCCTCCAAAGAAACCATTGTGGTCTGAAAGAAGACATGATACAGGTGAACACAGGTGAGTTGGTTGTACAAACCACCAACAGCAACACACTTATCCCCCTATATGTACATTAGTGACTTTTGGCACAGACTCTGTGCTACTTAATATGATAATATACATTTACTTCATCTCTTTTCTGCACAACAATCATAACACCCCTTTGAATTAATTACTTTATTTGTCATACAGCCTGAAATCAAATCACATTTTCCAGCCTTTGAAATGTTTTTGTAGTCTTCTTCTAACCTGTACATTTTCAAACTTTATCCAGAAGGTCTTTTGGAAGCAGGGTGTATTGCGAGTATATATTCACAGGATACGATGATTTTCTATAGGCACTGCATTGCTTTTGCACAAATACATGTACAGTTTTTATGTAAAGTTTTTGTAATCTCAGTTTGTGCATCAAGTCAACTCAAGTCTTGCAGGGCTGCGACCGGTCAGTACTTGGATGGGAGACCACATGGGAAAGCTTGGTTGCTGCCGGAAGTGGTGTTAGTGAGGCCAGCAGGGGGCGCTCAACCTGTGGTCTGTGTGGGTCCTAACGCCCCAGTATAGTGAAGGGGACTCTATACTGCTCAGTGAGCGCCGTCTTTCGGATGAGATGTTAAACCGAGGTGCTGACTCTCTGTGGTCATTAAAAATTCCACGATGTGGAACCCTGGCATCCTGGCCAAATCTGCCCACTGGCCTCTGTCCATCACGGCCTCCTCACCATCCCCATATCATAATTGGCTTCATCACTCAGTCTACTCTCCACCAATCAGCTGGTGTGTGGTGTGTGATCTGGTGCAAAATGGCTGCCGTCGCGTCATCCAGGTGGATGAGGAGATTCCCCCAATGTGTAAAGCACTTTGAGTGTCTAGAAAAGCGCTATATAAATGTAAGGAATTATTATTATTATATATCTGACTGCTTGTATTAAAGGACACAATTCTAATACAAATAATACATAAATATATCTATAAATTATAAGTTTTAATATAAGAATTATTGTGTTGCTAAATAAAATATCAAATTGTTTATGGAAAGCATCGTCAATGTGCCGTGATGCACCGAGAGATATAGAATCGACTGAATCGACAGCATGATAATCGTAACAGAACCGAACCGTGAGACCAGTGTAGGTTCACACTCCTAATAGACATACAAGCGATACACTGATGACCCTTTAGTGTCCAAATATCTGTGTTTGGACTTGGTGAACAGTGGTGAAGAATGGTGACCATCCAATCACAGTCATTTTTGTTGAGCATGTGAACACAAAGGCCAATCAGCACTGTTTAAGAATGTGCTCAACAGCGCTCAAATGTTAGCGGGAAATGGATGTTTTTAAAATGTCAGTACAGATTAGTACTGAAATCGATACTTTTGACAACACTACTTTCAACTGAAACAGAATAATGAGTAAAAGGCGGGCTTGTTTTTTTTTGTTTTTTTTTACATCATTTCCTCAAAGTCAACTAACAGTAAGTGAGGCATAATTCAATGTGAACCGAGAAAGACGGCCACTCCAATCGCAGACTCAAGACTTTGATTGAAGATTAACAAAACATTATCAGCGAATTAATAATAATAATAATAATAATAATTCCTTAAATTTATATAGTGCTTTTCTGGGCACTCAAAGCACTTTACACAATGGGGGAAAATCTCCTCATCCACCAACAGTGTGCAGCATCTACCTGGATGACACGACGGCAGCCATTTTGCGGCAGACCGCACACCAACTGATTGGCGAAGAGGAGACAGAGTGACGAAGCAAGTTATTATATGGGGAGGGTTAGGAGGCCATGATGGACAGAGGCCAGTGGGCAGATTTGGCCAGGATGCCGGGGTTAAACCCCTACTCTTTTTCGAAGTACATCTTGGGATTTTTAACAACCACAGAGAGTCGGGACCTCGGTTAAACGTCTCATCCGAAAGATGGCACTCACTGAGCAGTATAGAGTCCCCGTCACTATACTGGGGCATTAGGACCCACACAGACCGCAGGTTGAGCCCCCTGCTGGCCTCACTAACACCACTTGTGAATAATTGTTAACCTAAAAAACAACAACTCGGCCAGCAACATAAACGTACATTTTGATTTCACACAAACTATGAAGCATTCAGCTAAAAAACAGGCTTTTTACAAATATTAATAGTATCTAATTTTCATAGATAAAGCCTATGCGGAGCACTTTTACATTTGATTATTCAATTCATGTACCTGAATCTCCAGAAAAGAAAAAAAAACAAGCATTTAATTCTTTGTTCTGACTGAATTATCCAAGCTTGCAAGTTATGCGAGTATTATATTTCATGCAGATGCACTTTCCAACAAAAGCACCCCAATCATCGATTACTTCCCAAATAGAGCTATTCTGGTCACTTGATGGATTTCTTTGTTCATATCACAATAACCGCAGAAATACAAAATATCGCACTGTCAGTTTTTTCAACATCGTGCAGTCCTAATGAAGATTAATCCATACGCACAGTTGCAGAAATGCATAATATGACTTGGCGATGTCCTAAATCCTGTGTGAATTGATGCAGGCTCTGTTAATGACCAGCAAGGCGGGACATCTATTTTTAACCAGGGGCATAAATCTAATTTCATACAGGCACTCGGGGACCGCCTGAGGTCCAACTACCTAGAGACAGGCAGACTCCCAGCGTGAAGCCCGACGGCGTCAGAAAGGCCGAATTCACCACCACTGCAGTAACACCAACCACACTAGAACTAAAAATCTCAACCACGTGAGGTAGAAAAGAGCCTTGGGTGATATGTAAATCTGTGTATAAATGCATGTGAATGTGTATTTGTGAAGTTTTTAAACTAATCCACTAGGTTGTGTGGTGTGTGGTGATACTATCGGAATTTTTGTTGTAAAACTACACCAGCTGACATTATTGTGTATGTTGAAAATCCGAAGTAACTGATTGTGCTCATTCATTCATCCATTCATATTCCTGCGGCTTAGTTTCCACAGCGGAATGAACCACCAACTATTCCGGCATACGTTTTACACAGCGGATCCCCTTCCAGCTGCAACATAGTATGGGGAAACACCCATAGACACACTCATACACTATGGCCAATTTAATTAATTCAATTCGCCTACAGCGCATATCTTTGGACTGAGGGGGAAACCGGAGCACCCGGAGAAAACCCACAACAACATGGGGAGAACATGCAAAGTCCACACAAATGTGTCAAATGACTTAGTCGGGACTTGAACCAGAGACCTTCTTGCTGTGAGGCGAGAGTGCTAACCAATGAGCCACCGTGCCGTCTTTAATTGATTGTGTAATGAAGCCTATTAGAATGTAGTTTGAATGACCTTATAATTCAACTTATGAAAGCAAACAAGATCCCTGTGTGGGTTTTCTGCTTTTTTAATGTAACCCCTGCTGGTGAAATGAGTCAGAATGTACAGCACATGGGCTAACTGTGAGTGATGGGGGTCGGTATTAGATTCTGATGGTATGATAAGCTTGGTTTCACAGTATCACTTTATTTTTTATTTTTTTTACCCAGACATATTTTAAAGCAGTTATCACAACAACTTTTTTTCCCCATTGAACACAATACATTTTATTTTAAGAAAGCAGTAAACATGTCAGGCTAAATAATTCAAATAAATCATTGACTTCTGCTATCATTGTTAGTAGGGCTGTGCAATTAATCGAAAATCCGATTTTGATTTCGAATTTGGCTTCTAACGATTATGAAAAATCATAAATCGAGATAAACGATTATTCCATTATTTACCGCCCCCTTTCCAGTTCTCCTTACTTGTTGCTCTTAAAAGTGTTTCAAAGGCTTAATTAGGGTAATTAGGCAGTTCATTGTATAACAGTAGTTTCTTCTGCAGACAATCAAAAATATATATTGGCTTAAGGGGCTAATAATATTGACCTTAAAAGAGGTTTAAAAATATTTAAGTCTGCTTTTATTCTAGCAAAAACAAAACAAATCAGCCTTTCTCCAGAAGAAAAAATATTAGAGGAAATACTGTTAAAATTCCTTGCTCTGTTAAACATAATTTAGGAAATTTTTATTTTAAAAAGATTCTCAGGAGCGCTAATAATTTTGACTACAACTACTAATCGTTTGAAATAATCGTGATTACAATTATGAACAAAATAATTGTAATTATGATTTTTCCCAAAATCGAGCAAAATGTTTACAGTGCATCTGGAAAGTATTCATAGCGCTTCCCCTTTTCCATATTTTTTGTGTTAGAGCCTTATTACAAAATGAATTAAATTCATTTATTTCCTCAAAATTCTACACACAATACCCAAACAAACCAAGCATGAAGGAATTGTTTTTAGACCTCCAAGAGGCTAAAGAGGCTGGGGAAGGTTACAGAAACATTTCTGCTGCTCTGAAAAATTCCAACGAGCACAGCAGCCTAGATCATACATAAATGAAAGATGTTTGGAACCACCAGGACTCTTCCTAGAGCTGGCCTGCCATCTAAGCTAAGTTATCAGGGGAGAAGGGCCTTAGTCAGGGAGGTGATCAATAACCCAATGGTCACTCTGTCTGAGCTCCAGCGTTCTTCTGTGGAGAGAGGAGAACCTTACAGAAGGAAAACCATCTGTGCAGCAATCCACCAATCAGGTCTGTATGGTAAAGTTGCTAGATGAAATTTGCCTGGGATTTGCCAAAAGGCATCTGAAGGACTCTCAGACCATAAGAAAATAAATTCTCTGGTCTGATGCGACTAAAATTGAACTCTTTGCAGTGAATGACAGGCATTACGTTTGGAGAAAACCAGGCATTGCTCATCACCAGGCTAATACCATCCCTACAGTGAAGCATGGTGGTGGCAGCATCATGCTGTGGGGATGTTTTTCAGCAGCAGGAACTGGAAGACTAGTCAGGATAGAGGAAAAGATGAATGCAGCAATGTACAGAGACATCCTGAATGAAAGCCTGCTTCACAGTGCTCTTGACCTCAGACTGCGGCGACGGTTCATCTTCTAG